GTTAGTAGATAGTACTGAACACTATAGTGTACCAACTACTGATAAATGAAACGCTGTTTATGAGAATTAATGAAGTCAACTACAGTCCGGGCTAGAAAATTTTCTTAGATCTTTCAGTTCATATACCTATCGAGTTTCACTGGACGTTGTTCAGCATCATAAGGAGTTGATTGATTATTATCATCTTCATCTTCATCTTCATCATCGTCAAGATACTGTTTATAGATTTCAATTGATGATAAATCACCATTATGTTTATCTTTATCATAAGATACACGAGGTATTCGATTTTTTTCTTGACCAAGATAAACATCATCATCATTGTTAATACCACGATCAAGACCCAAATCAATATCAGGTAAAGCAGATGAAATTTCAAGTAATTGCTGAAATGAAATTATATTTTATGCTAATGATTTTTTTTGTACTTGTAAAAAAAGATAAAACAAACTTTTTTTGTTTTTATTTTTTCAAGATCAAATAATCCTTGATCATTTTTTCCACCTTCTGCTGTTTCATGATCATGAATATCTCCAGGTAATATCATTTTAAGTGCAAGACGATCGCGTAATTTTCGTTTTTCTTTCATTATATGTTTACGTTTTCTAGAGAAAAATAAAAAAAGTTTTTTGCTTTTTTTCTTTGTTATCAAATAAACATTCAAAAATTTTAAAACCTTTTAGCGTCTTTTCTTTGTTGTTCATTAAGTTTAAGTAATTGTTCTTCAATATCTTTATCAATATCATCATCCTCATCATTTTCATCATCTTGATCTTTGTCTATTTTTTCTTCTTTTTTTGTTTCATCCGATTGTTGTTCGATAGTCGGTAGAATTTTTTTAAAAAGTGATGCAGCCAAATGACGACGCCAACCAAGAATTAAACTAAAGAAGAATTTTATTCTTATATTTATTTTATTAATAAATTAACTAACGTTATTTCACGTCGACCAAGAACTTTAATATCTTTAATACATTCTTTTATTTCAGATGTTGTTTGTGGATGTTGAAGTATTCGTTCGTCATCAATAACAATCTAAGAAAAAGAAAATCAATGATTGATTCATCAAATAACAATATTGAAATATTCTTACTTCATTAGCTGTAGCTAGAAGATCAAGAAAATTTTCACTTTGAATAAATTTTGTTGCATCGAGTTTATGATATAAAGTATAATCTCCTTCTGGATAACCTTCTCGACTTCTGTAAAAGAAAAACAAAAATGAAATTTTTCTAATTTAAACTAAAACATGAACAAGAAAACAAACCGAATAAATTTTTCAGGATGTTTTAATCGTTCTTTTGCTTTATTTTGTGCTTCAGTTACATCATTATCAACGTCAGTAAATACATGTTTATAATCAAGAAATTTTGGATCGATTTTATCAGGTGCTAAATAGCCGTGACATATAACAAAAATTTCAGCTGATTCATTACGTGAAGCCTAATTAAAAACACAATGAATGAATATTTTAATAATAAAGTTGTTAGTGCAAACCCTGTGGGATTAAAATATGAAACACGATGTAACTACTATTGCTAATTATAGAGAGCTTGTTTTATTCTATCTGCTTTGGAAGGAAGGAAGAAGAAGAATACCTCTGTATTTCAGCTACTTTCTGGTATGAAGCATAGCCTAGTCGCAGATTTAATAGCTCTGTATCTTTCCTACAATTGTGACAGACTGTTGCTCTGGACAGAAAGCCAATCTGACACAGTTCTTGTGCTCATTTACTTAAGTTTCCCGCATACACTAACTAACCATATATTAGTCACAAAAGTAAGCGTATGTCATAATGAAGGCAGCATATTATTGAACCAGTCATCTGAGATAAACAGCTGTCAGTGACTGATCTTACAGAGGTTTGCACGAAGTACCTTGTGAATACATTTCAAACAATGTTACATCTAGTTTTTATAGATTCGAACTGAAGTTTTATATCAAAGATTCATCATTTGATTCTCTACGAAAACGTACACAAATGTGTCTCATAGGAATAAAAGCAAAAACGCTATTGTAGTAATATTGCAAACATGCAATATTCACAACTTTCAAAAGCACTTCCAACAGATAGGCCAGAATAAATACAAATTCGAATATATAGCACAATGGTCTATATACCTCGACATGAGAACACATAAATACAGAACAACTGTATTTTATTTTGTTTGAAAGTTATTTATATTATGTCCACAGTATTACTACGGTAACTATTTTGCTCGTTTCTATGTCTATGATATCTATTTGTAGAGAATTAAACATTGGATCTTTTGAATAAAGTTCAATCCTAACTTATGATGAAAACTAGAGACGACAGGTTACTAAGGTACGTGTGACTGTCTGCAGTGAAATTCAAATTTTTACTCCTATACTTCAATATTTCTTTTCGATCGTGTTTCATAGAAGAAAGAAAAATAATTTAAACCTGAGGTTTAGTTGAATCAACACGTTTGAACATTTGTTGAAAAACCCATAACAATGAATAATAATCTTTTGAACGAAACAATTTAGTAACGAATGTACCACCCTTACGTAAAAATTCTGTTGCTAATTTAAGTGCATTTAATGTTAGAACGTCTACAAATAAAATAATACTGTTTTTTTAGATTTCAAAAATAGAGTGAATAAATACATACTCTGTTGATATGCATCATGAATCCAACTTTTACCAACATTAGGTGCACCATCATGAAGAATAACATCAGCTTTAAATGTTCCTAAATCTTTTTTTAAAAGCTAAACAAAAAAAAAACAACAACAACAATTAGAACGAAATAAATCATTAGAAAAAAAAGATCTTTGATTGTGTTTTTTTTTTCTATTTACTTGACGACATTTTTCAGATGTGATATCTTCTTGATAAGTTATTGTATGTGGAATTGGTTTTATTGGTACTAAGTCAATACCTGACAAAAAGAAAAAGCACAAAAATATAATAATATGATTTTTATTTTTGATTAAGAATTTTACCGATAATTAAACTTGATATTGGCATATGTTTTTCAGCAACTTGGAGCCAACCACCAGGTGCTGCACAGAGATCAATAAGAACACGAGCATTTTCCAAAAGACGATGTTCACGATTTAATTGCAGTAATTTAAATGCAGCACGAGATCGAAAACCTATTGTTTTTTTTTCAAAGTAATAAAATTAATTTTATTAAAATATTAAATAATAACATACCGGATTCCTTAGCTAGATGATAAAATTTATCTCGACGAAGTTTTCCTGTTTTAGCTTTTTTGCCCATGTTTATCTGAAAATTAATATCAAAGAAAAAATATCATATGAATTTGATTTATTTTTAGTCAAGAACATAATATTTATTCTGATAGATAAACAATTTAAAGTCATGTATAATAAAGTCAATTAAATTTGATGTAATATGAGAATATTTTTTTTTTTGAATTATGTATTTCATTCTTTAAAATCTGTTTGCTGAAGATTTTAACAATATATTCTCAAAACTTCACATAGAAACTGTATGCATCATGTAGATCCTAGTAAGCTATGAACATCCTGAAAATGGTACAGGCTCTTCACCACTTATGACTGCGATTGTACTGCAGTAATATGATAGTTTTAAAATCAATACCATGATCGTCTTCAGAAACACAGAGAGAAACTGATTTTCGAATTTCGACCTTGTTCACGAACAACACTTAACGAGAATATTTGATTGTGAAAGTCTCAGATCTTTTGATTTGCTACTATCTGACAGATCCATATGTTCTTATTTCGGATAGAAGTCAATCAGAAGACCTGAAACTTTCACAATATACTATTCTCGCTAAGGCCTATCTCTAGCGTAAAGTTTCCAGTCAAGATTAGAAAATAAGTTTCTCTGAGAAACAACATAGCATTGAATTAAAAAAGAACGTAAAAGACAATGTCGTTACAGCAATAAGCTCGAAACTCGAACTTTTTTCAGAATATTCACTGTTCGTTAGGATGTACACGATGTACATAGTCCTAATTCGAAAGTGATTAATTAGTTGGGAAACCTCTCTCATAAGCTGAACACATGCTTTTTTTTTCTTTTCTTATGGATTATATCTGAAAATCCTAATTGTTTAATCGTTTCTCTATTGAGAACATTGGAATTCGATCAATTTTGATGAAGAAGAAAAAACTATATTTCGATTTGAATTTCTCGCTTTCTCACGTCAAGTTATAGACGTTTGACTAGATTTTTTCAAGAAAAAACCGTAAAATCAAATGAAAATAGATCTTTTTATTACTTATCAAAACAAAATGAATTGTTATAGTGTGAATCGAAAAGCGACTAACCGGTTAAGTAGTTTTTCTCTTTCGTTCTGTAACAATCATATATAGAAAATAATTTTTCTCAGAATTAAAATTTTTCAACTATAATGGAAAAGAATTTCTACTAGGCGAATAATCAACGCATTTAAATTTTCATGTTTCTTTAGCTTATTCTCATTTTTTTTTTTACCAAAATAGTCACTCCACTATAATACTAATGAGTTAGAACTAAGACAAAAACGATTGAGAAAAAGAAATTTCACCAAAAAAAATAAATAAATAAAGCTGATACTTATTCTAGTATTTTATACAAGAACATTAATAGAAGAGATATAAAATAGATTTATTTTCATTTATTTTTCTATTTATTCATTCACAAAACTAGCAATAACATTTTGCACTTGAATTCAACCATTCAATAAGCAGAACCAATCAGTCATTGTATACTAACGATATCTATATAAACACATACAAATAAAATTAAAATCATTTTTGATATGTTTTATTAACAAAATTTAGTTTTTTTCTTTTTCAAAACTTTTCTCTTTTCAGATCAGTTTACTAAATCCGCCATATATTCGTCCAATGTCCTTCGATTGTTCATAGCATCGTCACAATTCACTTTCCTCAACACACAATGTAATGCATTCATCAGGGTCAAAATCACAAATATGTAACTGGCATTTACTTTTATTTTATTTCTAGATATTTTCATTGCTACAACACAAACAATCATGAGTAAAGCAAGTGCCAACTTTGGAGGTACAGTTGGTTGGGATGAACAAACAGTTATTGGTAAACGTGCACCTCGACCAGGAGAATTAAAAAGTGAATCAGCAATAGCTGCTGCTGAACGTGCTGGTGTTGCTATTGATACATCAAAAAAATTTGCAGGTGGACATAATAAACAACATGAAGCAGCAAAAAATACGGCAGTTTTAGATCGTGAAACTGAAGAATTACATCATGAAAGAGTTAATAAAGATGTTGCACGAGCTATTCAACAAGCACGTAATGCTAAAGAATGGACACAAGCTGATTTAGCAAAACATATTAATGAAAAACAACAAGTTGTTAATGAATATGAACAATCAAGAGCAATTCCAAATCAACAAATTTTAAGTAAAATGGAACGTGCTTTAGGTGTTAAATTACGAGGAAAAGATGTTGGACAACCATTTAGTACTGGACCAAAAAAGAAATAAATGATTTGAATTGAAAAAGACATTTCTTTTTTCTTTCATTCTTTTGGTTTAACATGTATATTTATTCTTCTTTTTTCAAACTTATGCTAACATTTTCTTTTGATTTTCTTGTCATGAATTAAAGGTTAAAAGAAAAAAAAAAAAAAACATCAGCTATTACCAGAAAAAATAAGACTATTGTTGTTACAATGATTGTAGATCATTTAATGATAGAAGAGTTTTCATTTATACACATTCTCAATTTTTGTAGATGTATCAATTTATAAGATTTGTTTAGTTTAACTTAATTATTCGACAATGCATTCAGAATAAGGCATGATTTCTTTTTATATAGATTAACGTTCAATATTCTTTATATTCATTTTAGTCTTTCTTTATTTAAAAAAAAAAATATGGATCAAGCCGATGATTTAAAAGCATTTGAACGTCGTATGATCGAAATAGTTTCTTCACTTCAACCATCAATATGGCGTTGGCGTGTTATATTACTTATTCTTATCGTAGTCACATTTGTTACATTTTACGCATTAATTACCGATGATTCATCTACTACATTACCAACAGTCAATACATCTAGTGATAATTCTTTTCTATCTTCATTATATTCACTTCTTTTTCGTAAACAAGTTTATTTTTCTGTTTCATTTGCCTTACTTATATTTGCATTTTTATTTGGTATACATCGTAAAATGTTTTCATCATCAATAATTATAGCAAGATTTCGTTATGTACTGGCTGATTATAATATGTCATGTGATTCTGATGGTCGATTAATATTAAGACCACGACCAACATCATCATATCTAACAGGATGATCTTGATAATTTTCTTTATATTGTATTATAAAAATTCTTTTTCTTTTCGAAATATAAAAAAAATAGATATTATTTCGATTCATATGATTGTTTTTGTTTCTTTTTGTTTTTTAGTATGAGTACAGAAATAAATCCAAATTCTTCCCCATCAACATCACAACAACAAATAACACCTGTACAACGTAAATTACAGAAAATTCTTGATTTAAAATTAGAATCGGATAAAGATTTAATTGAATCTTTGAAATATTTATCAACTTTTTTTACGGAAAATAGTGTAAGAACAAGACGTTCATTAAGAAGTACAATTGAAAAACGAAGTTTAACCCTAAATGATCAATTTGAAGAATGTTTTCGTGTTGTTAAACAACAACTAGATCAAGTAAATGATACTGTTACATCTATGTCAACATGTTGTGAAGATATGACACAACGATTGAAAGTATGAATGTATAAAAATTTTATATTATTTTTGTTTTTTCTAATTAGAATTTTTTTTTTTATTAGAATGTTAAAGCACAAACACAAGAATTAATTAATAAAACAACACAAATACAAAATGAAAAGTAACAACACTTTTGAATTTGTAATTTTTATTTTATTTATTTTATTTTATTAGTCAAGAATTAAATATAAAATCTTGTATAACCGAAGGATTTATTGAACGATTTCAATTAACACCTGATGAATTAAATGCATTAAGAACAACACGTGACGGATTTTTACATCCGGTAATAAAAAAACTTTCAAATTTCCTTTTTTTTCGAACTCAAAACTTAATAAATGTTTCTATTCTGATCATCACCATCATATCTAGGGATGTGATGGTGACGATGATCATGGATCTGACGTAGAGCATTGCACTGGTCTAGATATGCATGTACAGACTAAAGGTGAAGGCATAATAAGACCATGATAATTTTAGATTCATTTTGTCTTTTTCGATCGAGAGAAGTTTATTTCGAGAAAATAGCAGAGTTTTATAAAACATGACTAAACCGAGAGAACTAATCTTTTCTCCAACGAGAAAGTCTAACTCGAAAATTTTGACAAGTCTCTTGTAGATTCTGGTTCATGAATTCTAAAAACCTTTAGTCTATTTTTATCAAAATGCAGCTATTTTCTTGAAATAGATCTCCCTTGATCGAAAAAGTGGCAATGAGTCTAAGACCACCATAGTTTTATCATGCGTGCACTGCCTTTGCTATTAGTCTATACGTAGATGTTTAGACGAGTAAAAAGTTGTACATAAAATCGAGGCATCGTCAACATTGCATCGTTAATTAAATTCTTTCATAGTTCGAACTTTGTAAGTTATCGGATTAATGAACGTATGATACATTGTCTAATGTTATGAGCATCGTATTCATCGTCCAGAATTCTAAGAGTTATTCTTCGTTCTTCAAGACATATATTTCTAATCCAATGTGTAGCTCCTTTGATCCATCTATCCCGCTGAATAACCGATAGGTTCTGCAAATTTTACGAAAACAAAAACTTCTTCGATGTATTAATTAAAATTCGAAGTAGTTCTTATTGTTTTTTATAGCAATTTTTTAATGTTCTTAAACGTGTTAAATCAATTCATCAAGATTGTAAATTATTATTACGTACAAATCAACAAACGATTGGTTTAGAAATAATGGAACAAATGGCACTTCATCAAGAATCAGCTTATGAAAGATTATATCGATGGTTACAAAGTAAACTAATATCTCAATTGTTTTTATCTTTGATATGATTAAATGTTCTTTTTTTTTTTATCTTTCTGTTAAAAAGGTGAATGCCGACTTTTAACAACAGAATCACCAGAAATATCAACATTACTTAGTGAAGCACTTGATGGATTAAAAGAAAGACAAGTTTTATTTAAGTAAGTAATGAAAGAAATAATAAACAGAAATTCGAAAACTTTTCACTGATTAAACATATCGGCTTTTATCAAAGATCCATGATTTTTTCTTAATTTTAAAACTTTTATAACATATAAATTGAATTTCGCAAATGTATTATCTGATGATAAACATCAAAGGAAAAAAATTACAGTGGGTAAAAACTTTCTGTTTTTATAATTCTCATATGTTTACTTTATTCGCATGTGAATCCTAACTGAACTCCTTAATCTACCAATTTTTGTCTTAATAAAGTAAGATCATATATTATTTTTGTTAGATACATTCTTGATGAATATGGTACTGCTCGTCGTAATGCACTTGTTCGTGGTTTTATTGATGCATTAACTCGTGGTGGTCCAGGTGGTACGCCACGTCCGATAGAATTATCTTCTCATGATCCATTACGTTATGTTGGTGATATGCTTGCATGGACACATCAATCAACAGCATCAGAAAAAGAATATGCTGAAATTTTATTACGAAAATTAAAAGATTGGAATGAATTACAAAAAACTATTCAAACTTTATTAGGATATATTACTGAAGGACTTTGTCGGTTAGTTAAACATTTAACTTTTTTTCATTTAATTTAATTTTTCTTTGTATTAATTAAATTACAGACCATTACGTGTTCGTCTTGAACAAGTTCTTGTCTCTCAACATGAACCTGTAACATTATATAAATTAACAAATTTACTTAAATTTTATGAAACAACTATAAAACAATTATTACCCATTGAATGTCAATTAGTACTTGTACTTGATGAAGTTAGTAATTTATCATCCAAAATGTTTTTAAATGCGTATGTGAAAACAAATTTTTTGTTTTATTTAAAGAAATGAAATTCATTTCTTTTTTTTTTTGTCAGTTTGAATGCAACAGCAACACGTTTAATTGAAAAAGTTGATATGCCAACAAATGATTTAAATTTATCGGATGAATTACGTCGTACATTAGCATTATTACGTGATATACTTGAAACACATTCAACATCAATGATACCATTTGAATCAAAACGTATTGATTTTCAACAAATTGTTTATTCAATTATTGATCCATTACTTCAAATGTGTTCATTATCAGCAGCAAAATTAGGTGTGATTGAAATGGCTGTTTATTTAGTTAATTGTATTAGTGCAATACGAACAACATTAGCTGTTTTTGCATTTACTGATGAAAAAATTGAAATGCTTGAAGGACAGGTATTAATTAAAGTGTTTTTTTTTTTTATGAAACATGATCTCAAAGAAATATTTAAGTATATAAGGTAGAAATATGCACCACCCACAGACCGTGACAGACGTTATTGATGTACGATGAAAGGTCCTATATAAAAAATGCCTCGTTATCATATATGAACTACTTCGTTATGAAAGCTCGAAGTGAGCCGCTTGATTCGACCCACAAAGATTTTTCCTCCGAGCTAGGTGGATCACCCAGCCTAAACTTTTTTTTTGCGAGAGCAGCTATATCGTGTTTCACATTTTAAACTCGCATGAATGGCGCTAACAGCTTTTTTCTTATTTCTTTGATAAAATTTATAGATTGATGCAAATACAGATACATTAATTGGCGAACAAGCAACATATATACTTTTACGAACGGATTTATTAGATGCTTATCGCGTTGTTGAAAAGCAACAACAAGAATCAAATGATAATGTAACTGCATTAGCACTTAAACCAGGTATGGATACTGTAACATTAAAAGCAGCTATGGTAAGTTAAAAATAATTTTTATGATGAAATTATTTTAGAGATTTTAGGTTAAATTTGATTCGTATTTGGCATCACCGGATCTTTATATAATGCCACAATTAAAGTATTTAACAAGTGCTGTTATTAGGTTAGTAAATAATAATCAAATTTTTATTTTTATGTCATTATTTTATTTTAGAGAAAAAATAAAAAAACGTTCGGTTGAATTAATATGTGCAGCTTATACCAGTCTTTATTCTGCTATAATGAATTCAAAAAATAATTACGCAAATCCATATTCAATAATGCCACATACACCTGAACAAATAGTTAAATTACTTTCTTAACCATATTGGTGATATTAAAGAAAAACAAATATTGTTTTGAAACTAACATTATTTTAAAAACTCTTTCATACACTTTTTAATTAGATCTGCATGTGAAATTTCGTTGAATAAAATAAATTCTTTATTGATATTTTATCGGGTGATAAGTATAAAACAAATTTTTCATGGTAAAATAATATCAAATAATGAAAACTTTTTTTTCTGATAATTTTTGATATGTATTCATAAAAATCGAAAAAAAATTATTATGGTTTTTGTCACATTAGTATTTAACGTTTTGTCAACAAGCACTAATTCTTTTAGAGAACGTCTCGTTTCTCAAGTACAGTATGTCTAATCAAGGTGAACCTATTTTCTATTTCTACTAATAGTAGAAACAGTTTAGAATGTTTTATGTTGTTTGGTTTCGACATATGGTGTATTACTGTTTTCAGCTAGGCTTGCAAAGAAGCTCTACTCGAAAAAATATGCATGTTTGGAGAATTTTCTTTGGATTCGGATGTTTTTACTCCAATAGGAAAAAATAAAAGAAAATCTCAAAATATAAGCACCCAAAACAATGTCAAATATGTGTAAAAAGAATGTTCAGCTCTGTAGGAGACATATTGCAACTGAGAAAGTAGGAGCAATAAAGGAGAGCATTTTTTTATTCTTAGCACCGTAATATCTTCAATAAGGAGGCATTGCAAAATTTCGAGTAAATGAGACTCTTGGGTCTATTCATCAAAATCTATCTGTTCCGAGAGCTTGAGATTTCTCTAAAGAGCTGTTCTTTAGAAATTTCTTACAGGAATGTCTTCTTAAATTATTTCAAAACGAACGATGTGTGAGAACTCGCTCTGCTTATCTTCAACAGTACTTATGATGCCGAAAATTCAAGAATTCATGAGGAGGACTACGGCATCTTCTCAATAGTATCGTGAAAAAGCAACATGTTCACAGGAATAAGTTAAGAACTCGAACCCTTTTCAGAGTATTCTAAGGTCATTAGGGTCTATATGATGCACTTAGTTCTGAATCAAAACCGATTAATCCGTTGAGTACATTCCTCGTTAGTTTCATTTTGTAAATAGAAAGTTAAAGACTACTTTTCAAAAGAGGCATCATAATTCTATTAGGCTTGTTGTGAAATATGGTTTAAAAGCAAATTCGAAACTTAGGAAAAGACTTTTGATTTTTTTTCAATCCTCTTTATAGATCGTATTCGACAAATCCAAGTTATCTAATTTTAATGTGGATTTATTGTTTAACATAATTGAAATGTGTAGCAGTACAAAATTCTATTCATTCATTTTAATTCTTCATAAACAACTTCTACGTCAACATGTCGAATAATTGATATTTTTTTTAATCTATTTTTCATAATGAACATTTTGAAGAAGTGAAATAGCTAATTATTATATTGTTTTATTAATACATTTTGTTTCTTGTTACATATAGACTACCGTAAAAAAAAAACGAATGACTAAAATATAAATAAGAAATAAATAATTATGTAGTTAGTTCATTATCTTGAACTTCCGGTTCAATTTTTAATAATCGTAATTCATCTTCAAGTGAACGAATTTGATTATCTTTTAATGATATAAGTTCATGTAATGATTGAATTTCTTCTAGTTGTTTAAGATATTCTTGACGATACTAAAAACAAACATTTATTAAATTTAAAAAACAAAAGTGGAACTACTCTTTTTACTAACATCAATTCCATTTTTTTGTTGTTCTTGTATATATGAATAATTATCATTTGTGTCAACACTCCAAACTTTTTTCTTTATTTCAAGATTATTTTTATTCAATTGTTGTATTTGTCGTGCTTGATTTTGAAATTTATCTCTGAAAGAAAACAAAACAAATTAGAGTTTGATAGAAAAACAAAATACAGTACACAGCAAAATGCAATGTCATTTCATGCTTAAATCGGTCACTCAACTACCTCTTTTATATAATTTTTCAATCTCGATTAGTACGTTGTTCTAAATGAATAAAAATTGATGAGATATAAAGTGGTTCTTCATAAATGTTTAATAATTTCTATTGAGACAAGATTATTAATCGACAAAAAAATATTTGACAAATATTTAGTTAAAAATAATGATGAATAATTATATTGTTTATTATTTAATCCTAATAAAAACAGTTTATGTACTATTTAAGTATGAATTAAGTCATATAATGATGGAATAAGATGTATATAAGAAATGAATTTTATTTTATACATTAAAAGTTAAACATAGATTTGGAATTGTTGCTGATTTGTGAGCTTTTGTGAGTTTATATTATAATAGCAAAGGACGAGGAACAGATTCAATTTTTGAATCAATAAAATTTTCAATAGAAAAAGTTATGAAAGAACATATTCAACTAATCATGGCCTACTGATGATGAGTTCTAGCTGTTTTAATCAAATTTTTACTAAAAGCAATGCATGTCTGAAAAACCCAAAATGAAAATTATCGACTTTCTAGTTTGTCAATTGACAGATATATTAGTTATGACGTATGTTTTTCTCGAGATTTTAAATTGCCAAATAAATTCAACTGCTATGTCCTCCTATGGTAAACCGCTGTTTGTTTTTTGAAAATTAAATATCTCGAAAATGGTATGTTTGTTTTCTTTGAAACTTATAGTACTATCTAATGACTAATAAATGTATTAAAAAATAAGAGACCAAATCAAAATTGTTTATTTTGGATTTGTTAGAAATGTATTGCTTTCAATAAAAATCTCATTAAAGTGTTTATAACTCTTCATTGATAGGGATTAGGTCCAAATTCTGTTAAGCTCTTCTTAGTCTCACATGAATCTACTTATAGTCATAATATGAAGTCGAACGAGATCTAATTGTTGGGTATGTTTTCTTGTAAGAGTGATCAAATTCTTGTGAACATCTCAATCTGTATAGAAAATATTTTATACCTAATATAATGAAATTCTGTACTTGTTGCGGGCATTCTTAATGATTCAATTTTTCTTAAACTTGTCTGACTTGTTTGCTGTTTTATGTCAACTGGTAATTTTTCAATTGATACTGATAAAGAAGATGATGATTGATCATTAGTATTAGATTTCAGTGTAGGTGTAACTTCTGCTATAGGTAATTGAGTTATTCGTTGTGATATTCCACGATTTGAAAAAACAGGTGTGTAATCAAATGTTCGATATGTAGTAATTTTTGGCATATTTGTATTTTCTATACGATCTTTCATTGATACTAGTATTGGATCACGATCAATACCAGATATCCATTCATCAGCTGATAAAGCTGGATATGGTCCAGGTATATCTGGATATATATCATATTGAAATGTTTCTGCTTTTCTTGGAACTAAAATTAAAGAAATCCGAAAGAAATTATTGGCGTCATGTTAAAAGATTTCTCGAAATCTAAACCAGTTATTTCAAATGATAAAATGAAATTCACTTTAAACAGCAAAATTTTTGGAGACACTGTATTCCTATAGATCTGTAATATTGATTTATTACATTGTAGAAAATTATACTAAGAAAAGTCAAACATCGAAATTTCTGTCGAAAACTTTTTCCATAATAAAATATTCTTTTATATGTTTATAAAAAGTTGAGATGGGCAACTTCATATAATTCCACTCCTGTTTTCTAAAATCTCTAACTTCAACTCTTGATTAATTGTTTAGCTTCACCCCGACTGCAATTCTACAAAAATTGAATTTCATACAATACAGTTTTAATAACACAAAAGTTTTTGAACATAATTAAACCTTCTTTTGACATCAATGAGTAGAAAGTCAATTTATTCTTTGATAAGTTTTTCACATAAAATTCAAAGATGAGCAACTTCATCATGTCTCACTTCAACTCCATTGCAGATCTATTTTAACTCCACTTCAACTCTAATGAGAAAAATCTTCAACATCTGAATTAAGACTAACTCCGAGTTGAAATTGCTCATTTGTGGTTAAAAAATAAAGTAAGTTTTATTTCACAAATGATTTATCATTAAGAACATAATTTCCTTATAAGTAAAACAAATTTGTCACAATACAAACCAATCATAGATATAGGTTCACACATAGATCCAGTAGCAAATAATTTATAAAACCGCATAATCTCATTACGAGTTACATCAAGACCAATTTTTGGCATTACACCTTTAAATATACAAGATTAGCAAAAAACAAAAAAGAATTTATATTAAAAGTAATTTACCAAGACACCTTTGTGGTGATGCTGATTTATATTCCGATAGACAATATAAATAAGGTTCACTTTGATCAGTCAATTCATAATAACGAATATTTCCATCACCCTACATTCAAAATCTTGTTGAAATGTTGTACAAAAAAGAAAAAAAAATTCTTTTCTTACTTTTCCAGCTAAATAAATTATTCGTGTGTCATGATCATAAAACGGAATAAGAACACCGGCACTAAAATCAATTGTTTCAATTATTAATGGATTTGATAAATCATTCTATATAAATTAATAAGAAAAAAGAAAAAAAAAATGACATTTTTTAATTAATTATACAAAATTCATACAGCATTCCAAATTGCTACTTGTCGTTCAAATTGTTTCCCAAAACCAGTTGATAAAAGACGATTTGTATCACCTAAAAAAACAACTTTTGATGCTTTTGGACCTTGATGGCCAATACCATTCTATAATTAATCAAATAAAATGTCTTTACTACTAAATAAAGTCATCCTATTTTTCTTTTTTTTTTGTTACAGCAATTATTCGACCTGATCGAGCTTCAATAACGCGTATTTGTTTATCTTTACAAGTTGTTGCAAATAATGAACCATTACGATTCCATGTTATTGATTGTATTGCATTTGTATGACAACGATAAATTTGTATTGGTTCAGCTTTTTCAACATTCCATAATATAACTTGATAATCAAAACCAGCACTTAATATAAGATTTTCTGCTGTTGGATGCCATTCAATATAATCTACACGTCTTTGATGTCCATGTAAATCAATTTTCCATTGATATGTATCAATTTTTAAACCATCATTTGGTATAAACCAAATTTTAACTGTTCCATCATCTGAACAAGAAGCTATTTCATTATCATTAAATGGATTAAATTTAAGATCAACAACAGGTCCACGATGTCCTGTTATACGAGGATGATTAACATCAATACGACCAACCTAGATTAAATATTCGAATGAATAAAATCAATAAAACGAATTAACAAACCTCTGATAAGAGTATAACAAGAAAATTTCCACCACCTGATGTTTCAGTTACAATAGCTAAAAATTTTGAATTAACAGCACAATAATTTCCATCATGTGCATTACGTGTTATAGAAATATTTTTATAACAATCTTGTTCACGATATGGTGAACCATATACATGACGAAATTTTGAGATGCGAACTTTAAATGGCATCTAAATGAAATATATTTATGTATATATCTATATATTGAGAAAATGTTTCTTTTTTTCTTGGGTCGTTAGTTTTATAGAAGAAGAAATATGAGGCCTATACTCATTTTTCATGTCAAAATGATTGCATTTTCTATCCTTACATTGTATTTTTTTTTGTATTCTTCGACGTTTTCTTTTCTCACATATAGAGATGCATGTCCTAAGTGTATACAATGTGTGCTAATCTGTCATGAAGTACGCGGAAGCTTCGAAGACATCGTTCAACATAGTGTGATTCATTACAAACGAAATACAGGAAGAAAAAGTGTGCACTTATTATGTTCTCGTCTGTATGTATGTGTATGTATTGAGAAAAAGACACAATGTTCTATTTCGATCAGATCATGTATAAAAATCTTACCCTATAATTAGTTCTATATTAGAACAAAGAAGATAGAGAAAAAGAAGAATGACATTGGCTTCACTAGTTCAATCACTATCATCAATTTTTCATATATACATTAAGAATATAAGATACTCGTCCCTTAAGTTCATAAGTATTCATTATAATGAATAGATTTATTAGAGTAAATTATAATAAATCAAGTATTCTTCAATTCTTTCATTCAACTTGTCTTTTTTTTTAATGATTACATAACATATTCGATTCAAATAACTATATTTATCATAGCATCTTTAAATTCTGATTTCTATCCAACATTTAAACATTCACTAACAGAAGCATTGACTGAATTTTTTCTTGTCTTTCTTTCCGTTTTTTTTTTCTTTTTACAATGTAATGCACTAGGGTCAAACATACATGCACGCAAAAGAAAAAGTGAATAAGTGAAAGAATAGAAACGAAGAGCACAATAGACTAGACATTAAGAACACATGCCATAAAAAAAACGAGAGGAATTCAATTTTTTCTCATTTATATTTATACATTGACAATGCTTAACAATAGATCCCCTGTTGGACATATGCTTTCATCAATAATCGATTAACCTGTTTTTCTTAAAGAACAAAATAGTATTTTATAGGCATTTTATTGAATGACACAATAAGATTTATGCTTTAGTCATCAATCATTAGAAATAGAAAAAGAGCATAAAACTCTTTGACAATCAATGTACATTGTTATTCTAATCAATGGCACTTCATTTGAATGTTTGAAGTTGTCTATATATATATATATATGACTCAATTATCCAATTAGGAGCGTAGTCTATATGTTGATGTGAATCGTTCGTAATTGTATTTAGTTTTACGTGAAGAATCCATCAAATATGTATTTATTTTCAATGTCATCTCCATTATATCGATTAGTGAAGCAGGCGTAAACATATTACATGTTAATATTGCATGACGCAAGTTTTTCTTTTTCATATTATTATTGCTAAAGAATGGTTAGTCATAATATAAAAGTGAATTAATATAAATACTTATGAAAGCATGATTAAAAAATAAGGCATCTGTTGAATATTAATTTATATTATTTTGGTTTGGCATTACTGTTACGCATAAACATAGCACTTCATTTGTTTCTCGTCCTTGTTATATAAAACAACATAATTTTATGAAATAATCTACCGAAAATATTTGTATATATAACATAAAATAAAATTCATCTGCAACATAATTTTGAAAAATAATATTATAGAATATTATTTACTAAGTAGTTGATCTTGTCTTCCATGATAGACATTAGTATACAAATGAAAATAATCTAATATCTAAAATGATAGCGAGAATAAAATATATAAATTCTTATAATAATGTTTAAAAAAAATGATGAAAATCTATGTTTGAATATGATTGATATTTTTGATTATATCCATCAAACGAGAGATTTTATCTAGAAAAGAAACATGGTGAAAAAAAAACACAGAGAATAAATACTCGATATTAATAGCCAGCGATGATTCGAGACAGTCAATATTGTGGAGGGAGGAGTTGATTGGTGTTTTTTTTTAAGAGGAAGCAAGAAAAATTTAAGGTTCTGCTGAAGAACAACGAAAACTTTCTTTAGTTAGGCGAAGAGATGTTACACCTGCCAGTCGGGTCACCACTGGCAACAATATCTTACATAGAAAGATCTCTGGGTATATTTCCAAATTTTCTCATAAGAAAGTACATAGGCTTGACAAATTCGATACTTTTATTGTAATTATTAGATACATTATGCACTCAGGCTTCTTTGAAAAAATATTATAGTCAGATCACTTTTGACCTAGTAGCTGCTTCTTTAGAAATATTAATTACAACAAATTTATTTCTAACAAGAAAATAGACCTCAAAACTGATTGAGATTATTCTTTTTTATGAAATATATATGAAGGAAAAAAAACATTGGCTGAATACTTGATGCGACTTTTTGCTAAAATATTGCTACTTGAGGAAAAACAATCCAAGTCAAAATTACACACGATCATAATCACTATGAACAGACTACAACAGAGATGCAAATGAACAATAAATCGATTGCTCTAATATATTGATCAAGAAAGTCATTACTCCACTCAACATATTAGCTTTGTTGTTTTTTGATGATATAATATTTTTTTGAACATTGCTATCAGTTGTTCAAATAGTTGATTTTTTTTTTCTTCATTTATTTTTGATAAAAAAAGAACAATCTCAGTCAACTTTGAGACCTATTTTCTTTTTAGAAAATGCCTTATAATTTCGTTTTAATTAATAGTTCTAAAGTTCAAAACTACATAGTTCTTTAGAATATATTATGTAATGTTGACGTCAGAATAAAAGAGGTGTGAGTGTAAGTTCAATAACTGGATAGTGGTAACAAGTAGCGATTATCCATTTTAAGAATTCTGAAAAGGAAAATTTCGAATGTCTTTTTGGATAATATTAGATCAAACAAAACTATTTCATAACCCATCATCTTCTGAAAACATTTCAAAATTTGCATGAAAGTGGTGTTTAGTTTCAAGGAAATTTCATAAAAAATTAGAAATTTTCCCAGAAATGAACTAAATTATATAATTTGACTGAATAAATATGTAATTTTGTTGATATGTCAACATCAAAATGATGTCGAAATCATCTAAATGAAAAAATTTAATTAATCTCTTTGAGTGTGAACTGTGACGATTAATCATAAGACATGAATAAAGATTTTTTTGGTGTATATCATAAGAAGGCATATTTTCAAATCAAACTACAACTTTATATTAGTACCATATACCAAACGAAAAAGGTTAAGTCGATGAGTAACTTTCATAAAAAGTCAGAGAATACGTCTACAACCTTTACCGATCTGAATATGAAGATAATTAAAAGATGAAATGAAAAATATGCTATTCGATGTATATGCAATCTGTAGCTTATAATATATATTTGAAAGGGAAAAGAAAATATAGAATGGAGAGGTACAAAAATAATCTAGTTCAACAAGGAAAAATATTTTGGATCTCTATTTTATGCGCTGAATATTTACATATGTTAACTACAGAAGCTTTGTGTATATCGAAAGAAGAGATTTGATAAATCTATTTTTTATGGTAACTGTTCAACTTTTGGTATTATAAATAACTTCGCGATTAATTGTTTTATACAATTTCATTACTAAAAATAACTGCTCAAAATCGCTAGTCTTCACGAAAAAAAAGACGATTTAGGTAGCCATTTTAAAATATGCGAATCAACTTTTTATATGCTTATTTTGTCGCTTTTTATGAGAAAAAAACGAATTATGAGCTTTTCACAGTCTTGAATATTTTGACCCCTAACACCGTCATTTCTCAATGAAATTCAAAAAGTCTTTTTACCAAAATGATGAGCTAAACCAGGTCTACGAAGTCTAACAGAATGGAAAGTTTTCAAAATACTTTATGTTTTTTTTTTAGTTGACTGACCATAAAAGTATCTTATAACAGCAATATTATTTTGTCTTTTTTTATGTCACCTTTTTCTTAGCACTGAAGTTTGTTTACTTGTGTTGTATTTTAAATCCAAGAGTTTTTCGTATTAAACAAATGTATATATAGATAGTACCTGACATCTACTATATATTGGCATACAATCTAGTTAAATTAATCGTGCTCAGTTTGAATACACGACTAGAAACAAAAACGTGGTTTGAGCCTTTTGAGATACACTATAGTTATTGAATTAGAGATGCGTTTGTTTTTTCTTCTGGTTCTCCTTGTTTTCTTATGTCATCCGAAGATAAATTATTTGCTGTTGAAGGTGAATTATAAAATTTCAATCTTATTAGCATATCAATCATGTGTCTATAAATATATTCTATGAAAAACCTTGAATAATTATAAGTTCCGTTGATACACTCTGACGCATTGTGTGGCGAAGTTACTGTCTATATTCTCAGTTGAAGGCCTTTGGATTGATCAAGTAACGTCAATTTTTTTTTTGTTTTCTTATACTTCATCTCTTATAATATTTTGTGTCGTACAAGCTAGTATATAGTAATCAGTTAAATTCTTTATTTAAAAATGGTGTTTGTAATATTATTGTTGATGATCTTGCAAAATGATATGCATCTGTCCATTTTTTAAGTGTAATTGTTGATTCTGATTACAAGATTTAGATCATTTATTTACGGTACTGTTTACAGTTTTAAAAAGTATTGCTGGTGTATGCTGTTCTATAAATTTATGTTCTTCTTTGAGGAATTTATTTATTATTTTTAACGAATTTTGTGTGTGTGATGTTAAGCTGTTGTATCCTAGATAATACGAATCATAAATAACAGGTGGAGCCAATTAAATGGTCGCATTTTGCATTCCAATTCAGTTTTTCAAACATTTAATATGTCGTAATAAAAGAACAAAATACATCACAAGATCCAGCGTGAAAAGCTCTATAATTTACGAAAGACAAATTATTTTAAGTATGTATATTTTCTTTGCAAAATGTAAAAAATGTCGTGCGATCAATTTGCGATGATGCAGATATGATCGTTTGTTGCTACACAATAAATTTCTTTTCTTATTTCATCAAATAATGTATCATAGCTTTTCATTTTATTCCATTACTTA